AACAATAGATCAACATTTATTTGCAACAAAAATTCCTTAACTATTTCCTTTATGGACAGTAAGCACCATGTTGGTTCATGAAGAAATTGTCCTTTGTATCTTTGAATTGTGGTTTAACACAGCTTTTAAATGTGCTTTGGTTAGCAATGTTTTAAAATATTTTGAAGTTAGTGTGACATACCTTGAACCTGGACATGTTCAGATGCATCTTTGAGAGATGCTCCCAGAGTGTTCTCACTCCTTCAGACATGCCCTTCATCCCCAAACCCTTCTATACTGCCTGCTGCTTAACCACTGAGAGCAGACAGGTGCTCCATAGACCACCTCCCTGATCCATGGTGCTGCAGCTTTGCCTGCCTCACCCAGGTCTTGCCAGGTCTTAACAGAGGGAATTTTGCCAGCTAGAAGAATCACACTCTTGTCCAGTTGCATGCTCAGAAGTAATCAGTCCCCCCTTTCTTGGAAAAGGCCTCTCTGTATGGTCAAATGCTCTGAAATCACCTTTACTACTAATGATCGTAAGTTTTATAAAAGACGATGATAAGATTTATTATAAAACCAAGAGCAAATAAAAGAAATCAGTAGCCATTTGTTGAAATATTGACAGAGAAATAAGAATAAACAAGGAAATATTAGAACAATAATTTGGTTTTACCCTGCATCTTAAACCTAAGAATGCAGCTTCTCCTTAGCTCAGCAGGTTAAAAAGCAGCCTCTGACCTCCCTGTCAAAGTTTCTGGTAATTTCTCCTGTCAGCTAGAATATCCGGCTTACTGGCTGAGGCACCAAAGCACTTCATGGCAAGGCTTAATTATAGTTTCTTATCTTGCCATTTATATGCATTATCCACTAGATTCCTGGGGAGCCCATACTGTGCATATAACTTCTTGCCCCCTGAAGGTGTATTTTATTTACCAGAACGGAAGTCTTTCCTGATCTATTTATGACCAGAAAAATATTTGCATCCTTTCTCAGGGATCCCAAGGCTACAGACCCTCATTTAATTTCTGCATTGTGAGAAATGTCCTTTCCTGAATAGTCTGAGTAGCCAGGTGATTACAGGTCTCTTACAATGTAAGTTCATCATGGTCTGGCAGGGCCTCAGACCAAGTCTGCCAGAATCTATGCTAATTCTTGACGATCACTTCTCTCAAGTGTGAGTAAGGGAAAATGCTTAAGTTATTCTTTGCCCTACCTAAATGGTTTTGGCTAAAACATGAAACACAAAAATTACATTAATAACAAATACCACAATTCATATAGACATAATGATAAGGCTAAATACAATCTGATGTGACCTATACGTAAAGACTACATACACTGAGTCAATAAAACAAATTCAAGAAAACGTCCATGACATTCCATAAGCACTTCAAAATATTGTAGGTTCATTACTGTGGGGTGGGGTCAATCAAAAACACTTGGTCAGTTGGCCATTCAAATATTATCAGATAGTGGTCAAACATATTAAGCATTAATTTATTCAAACTGTGAAGAAGGAGAACTTAATCTTTAGTAGGTAAGTGCTTATGCTAATTACAAAAAAGTTGGTTTCACAATAACAGGTAACTATAACATTTAATTGTAAAAAAAATTGTAATGAATTTTTGTAACTGTCTGTGGTATGCTGGTGTAAATGTGTGTGTATAATCAAGACGACAATTATAAAAATAACAAATTAAATTAAATATATAAAACATGGCAATCATAAAAAGACAAAAGTTAGTTTTTAAAATGCAGTTAGGATAAATTAGCAGGAGACTAATTCTTCAAGTATTTTGCTGCTTGCATTTGGAGATGCTTGCAATCACAGGAGACGGCCAGTGGGAGATTTTCTATGATGCTGCTTTTGGTTCTTCTGTCAGCGCAGAGTAGCTCTGGAAGTCCCATATGGCTTAATGGTAGGGTAACCATATGGGACAATGTGGTCAGCTGTCCAGTCAGTTGACATTATTCCACTGGTCCATTGACTGGCTTATCAGCCCTACTTTTCAGATCTTAACTAGCCCAGTTGTACTTAAGGGACATATGAGCACTTTTAGTTGTAGAAGTTGTTTCATTATATATATTCATATCATGATGATTTTTTTCAGCCTTGTTTTGTGCTTTAGAGAATTTAGCAAGTTGCATCTAACATAAGATATCTTATTAGGCACCTTGAGACCATAATCCATGCCAATGAATAGAGGAGAAACAAATCCCTTTTTTGGTGATGTAGTGTAACCAGAGATGCATTTGGATTGAGCTGTCTAGGAGCATAACAAAGTAATCGTTCTCTGGTTGCATCTTGTAAAAGGTCAAATATGTGTGGAAAGGGTTTAGTTTTTAGTTCATTTTTGAGATGTCCATACCATAAAAATTACCACCAAAATAGTACAGTAGAATATTGATTGTCTGGAATAATTGGTGTCACCACTTCAAATTATTCATTTTTCCTGGAGTCTGTGCTGCTGCTTGAGCAGCTTTAGAGTCCCAGGGCTGTTCAAGCTACTGTGGCAGCAGGGTTGCCACAGGTCTGCCTGACAGCTCATGATTGGGTGGGTGATCTGGGAGCTAGCCACTCTCTGCATGAATCAGAATGTGAGGAGGAAGGTCAGGGGGCCTTGCAGTTGATTGACATTATATATAAGTAGATTGATTTAGTTTCAGCTGAGAAACCAGTGCTTTCACTGGGTATTATAAATGGACTACAGCATAGACAGCTGCTTTAGGTCAATAGACCAGTTAAGATCATTAAGGATTTCTTTGGGTTGTGCAAGAGTGTATTCTTCTTGCAAACTCCATCTATTTTAGGACACCTGAAACAAAACTCAGAGCTCACAAACAAACAAACAAACAAAACCTTAAACACAAATGCACCACCCCTATGCCCCCTCCCATTGTGCATACTGCTTTGTCATCTGTCTAGTCTTATTTATTCTGAGTGTTCTTAAGTAAATACAAAAACTAAATTCCTTTCTATGTAGTCTACTGAATACAGAAATAGTGTTTGTGTAAAGGGAAAATGTCTGCATTGTATACTTAGTTTCTGCATGATGTTTCAAGTAGCTTCCTGATAAGAGCCAGCATTTAAAAACAAGCAAATAAACCACTGAAGGTTTAAAAGGTTATTAAGAAAAAAATTATTAAAACTACTTTCTTAAGAAGGCTTCTAGTTTACTTCCTTATTAGAAATAGGAAGAAAATGATTAAATCAGTGCCTATTGAAATCATTTAAAGAGATTCAGGTTGTTAACTGTCACTGTATTCCTTTATTTCTTTTCAGGTTTTTAGACACATTAAAGCTATCCTCAGAAGACATTCTCACATTGAAGATAACACACACAGCCAGTGGACTGCAGGATTGTCTTAATTCAATTGTTCAAGCAGTGTCCCACAGGGAAGTTAGGGCTGCTGTCACTAGGATGAGTTTTTATATTTTAAATGACAGGCTTGCTTTAAAATTCAGCACTGGGTCTTGTGGGGCCACTTTGAAGTGCTTGGCTTGGCAAACAACATTAAACAGGTAAGTGTCAATGCAAGACATGTAACAAGTTAGGAAGCAGTACCTCATAATGATATATTATGTGAAAAAAGAAGACTTTAAAACAATATTATTTAGATTGAAAAGTCATGTTCTTAAGATTTAGGAAATGCTAGTTTTGTGAATAACCCATGTGGGGAAGGCATGAGATATAGGTAGCTAGGGGATTGCAATGCTAAGGCAGATGCTGGATCTGAAAGAATTATGTGGGTATTTCAGTTAAGAAGTCTCTTCTTTATCCTGGGAACTGATGGAGATATGGATCTCAAGGAACTCTGGCTCTCTTGTCATCCCCCCAAAGTAATGGAAGAGCTCCTGTTCCATGTGTTTACTCAGAGGAAAGATGGGATGATGAGACCATCCAGGCCCTTTTCTCGCTCTGTGGAGCCAGGTAGAAGTGGTTATGGGGAGAGTCCTGTTTCTTTCTCCCTCCATACATGCAGGATAATTTTGGTGACTGATGGCATGTCTACACGAGACGTTATGTCACTGTTGCTCATTGCTATGGCAACATAGTGTCAGCAGGCATGAACTGTGACACAGACACTACAGCGCAGTAGCGTGGGAAAAAACCCATGCGGCATCAGGACTGTGTAGTAACACTGGTTGCTGCACAGTCATTTGGTACTTCCTTAAGCAAGTATTAAATGACTGCACAGTAATAGCTGCGCAGTTTGGTGCATGTGTAGATGCTCCCTGAGAGATGCAACATCTAATGCTGTGTTGCTGGTTTGACAACAATATTTACATGCCTCAGACTAATTAATTTTGGAATGCTGCCAAAACGTTCTTCAGGAGCACATGCAAGAGGGGAAATGATGATTTTTTCCCCCTTTAAATCTTAATGGAATACTGTAGGCACTTCTTTACCCTGAGGCCAATATCCTTCTAAAAAATTGTTTTAGAAGCTTGCTGCAAGCAGCTGAAGTATCAGGATTAATTTTTTGTTTTTGAGGAGGTTATAAGAAACACATAATGTAAAATTTAGGATATGGGAAAGATGTTGGTTTTGTTTGTGAAGTAGGTGACATTTATATTTTGAAAACAGCAATATTTCTGTAATTTAGGTGTTTTACTTATTTTAAAAGAAAACATATGCAAATGACGGCTCTTTTATTGAAAAAAAGTCAGATAATTTAGAGCTGCACTTTTCCCACTAGTTAAATTAAATTAGTGAAGTTTGACCCATCTTTAGTCCTGTTCAGACATCTAAATTTAACATTTCCTATGGAGAGCTCAATACATCTGATTATGTATAAGTACTTTATATCATGTTAGTGGAACTTGGTATTTCAAGTAATGTCCTTTAGACATGAACATGAGACATGAACATGATAAACTTCTTTTGTACTAAAGGTTTCTGCAAGTTCTCCCAGCTTCTACAGAAGATGAGGAGCTTCTGACAGATGTCATAAGTTTTCTAAGCAAGTTGCTTAGGGCACAGAAGAGGAGCTTGGAGGTGGATCATTTAAAATGGATCTTGGAGACACTGCTTAAAAATGTAAGAATATACTTAGGAAAATGTATTGCTTGTGGACTGTACAAAATGCCATCTATCAAACCAACCACAGATGAAGGTTGGAAAAGTGTTTTGATTTGTGTATGTGTGCGCGAACAAATGTACAGATTGTATGTGATGTCAGAGTTACAATACAGTAAAATAACTTGCATAACTCTCTGTGTATTTGCTTGATCATATTACTTCATAATACATAATATTATGCTTTAAAATCAGAACAAGTTTTCAATACTAAAAACATACTTAAAAGGCTTTGTACAGATTTCAGTTTCTCCTGAGAGAGTTGCTGTTCTCCCAGGAGAAACCATGAGTGCAGAGATGTTCAGGCTTTTTCTCAGAGTAACAATGGCCACTTCAGGAGAAAAATAACCTGGGAACAGCCGGGATTCCCAGAGTTTCCCTAGGAGTGCTGTTAGCCTGATACCGAAGTACTAGAAAATTATTAATCTCGGGTTTGGTATTTTGGTTTTGTTTGGTTTTGTTTGGTTTTTAAAATAATACTTGTTAATGACATCCTCAGACTTCACCATAACTTCTTACTAGTTGAATAGAAAATTTTCAATAGATTGTGTATTGTACTAGGAAACACATTCTGCAGTGTTTGAATGTTTTCATGGTTCTTCTTTTCAGAATCCAACTTCATTACTAGATCTTCTTGTGCGACCAGAATCCCAGGTACAGGATGAAAAAGATAATGTACAGACTACTATCAGGCAACGATTGGAGAAAGAACTCATTAGTCTCTCTAACACCTTGCTATTCTGCTTCATGTCAGTTACTGACAGGTATAGTATAAAAGCATCTGTTCACATAAGGCAGGGCTTGGGAGTATAGTAGCTAGAAACCCTTAAAATATTGGGTGTCAAGAATGCATCTGTAATCATATGAAAAAAAAAAAAAAGGACTCTTGCCACTATATCCATTGGCA